CCCTACACGACGCTCTTCCGATCTCCCCAAAACCCCAAAACCCCATTAAGAAAATTATCTGATCGAATAATTAGAACTAGAATTAAAAGATACAATAAAAATTAATCAATATCAGATTTTTAACCGGTTATGATTCAATAGAATATAGGATTCTTACATAATCAGTTAATTGTATATTCTTAGGATGATGTCAGGCTCTAATTTAACTATATAACCAGATTATTAAGGTAATATATAATATTAATAGTCATAATGCTATCAAAGAAATAATTAGCAAAAGCATCACTGCTCCTCATCCTTTTCAATTTACTCATTAGCTTTAATGAGGTCAAATCTGGATTTCTTTAAGAATCTCTTTCTATTTACAATCAGTAACCACACAAAATTGCATATTAAAAAAGAACCGCAAACTATGATCTGAGCCTAGAAAGCAAGCACCCCTTGCTTTAAGGAGACTTCTCGTACAATATGACATGGCTCTAGAATTAAATTAATAATGCTACAGATGATATATTACCAGTATAAAGTCCTAGACTTCATGCCAGCATTAAACTAGATAAGTTAAAATACCTTCCAAACGATGTCGTCTTTATTGAAGTACTTCTTTTTAATTCCTTGAATGTTACACCTGTTGCCATTACTACACTACCTGCTAATGATCAAAGGAATCAGTTCTACAATCTAACAATTGAAGTAAGAGACTCTTCATCAAACTTGCTATTTACAACTACTGCAAAAGCTAGCTTTTCTACTGCAGTCACTTCCTTTAAGTTACCCTCAACTATTTCAGCTGGAACATACATTGTCTCCGCACTTAACTCGGTTGTAGCAACAGCATTAACTCAATTTACTGTGATCAATCTACCTAAAGATAAAATCATTGTCTAGTCATAGTTCTTATAATAATCATACAATCCTGGCAGCGTTGCGACTGGTATTGTAAGAGTGACAGATTAAAATCAATATTTAATAAATACGACCATAACTTCATTATCGTATTTTGTAAGATATTCAAATTCGACCAGTGCAAATACCTCTATTATTCTAACATCGACCAGAGCAGATGCAATCATTAACTTTACTATTCCCAGATATCTAAACACCTCATCTGCAATGATAATCTATACAATTAGAATCGAAAATGAGACTTTCAACTATCAGTAATCATTATAAATCAACAACCCTGAGTTAATTGCAATTGATGCATTTGTATCAACTGGTTCTCTAGTATTCAATGTTCCCAACATCTTCTACTTCTAAGCATATCAATCAAGAGAAAACTCTCAACCACTTGAGTTTTAAAATGCTACTTTAAAGCAGAGCTTTGCTAATAAATCAGAAATTGTGATCGGCCAAGTATCTACTTATTCTCAGGGTCGCGGTTCCTTCAAATATACTCCTCATAGGAATGAAACAGGTTTGATCATTGAGATAAGCGTAAATGGATAACTTGTCAGAAGAAGTCTTAATCTCTAAAACTCTTAGAATCCATATTCTCCATCAGCAGAAGTTACTTTCAGTATCCTTAATGCCAATAGAGTCATAGGTAATAATGACATGCTGGTACTATAATTCATTACAAATGAATAAGTCAAAGAAAATGACGATTACTTGCTGCAAATAAAACTCAAGGAGAGTATTTTATATCAATAGCAGCTAACATTCTCGCCCTCATCAATCAGAAATCTCTCAGTCCTGGCAAGATAGTTCCCTCTTATCAATGGAGGAGTATTGAACTTGAATTTGTATAAGCTGAGCGAGTAATTCAAAAATTTCTACAGAAATATCCAGATCTAGCCAGTCGTTAATTAAACTAACGGCACTAATGGAAATAGAACTAATAATTCAACTAACTCAACTGGAAATTCCACAAATGCTACAGCTAATAGCACTAACAATGCATCATCTTCTAATGCGACCACAGTGGTTATCACCCCAAGTTTCTCTAAATTGCAGGATGTTATCACATGGCTTGAACCTAAGGGGGAATTGATCATCTTCAAGAGACCAAGTGATAGACTTATCGTGAATATTACACTAGATAAGACTAGTTACAGTCCAGGAGATCTTGTTACCTATACTATCAGAGTTATTAACTCTACTACAGGCAGAGTTGTGGGACTCGATTCATATGTTACTTTGACAGCAGTTGATATTTTAGGTCTTTAAAGAGAAAATCAGGATCTGCTTTTGCCTTCATCAATTCAATCTAGACTCTACCTATCTCAAGAGATTGCAAACTTTGATAACGAAAATCTATAAAAGCTAACAAACTTTGAGACTCTAAATGACCCTAACTCAGCAACAACAGAGTCTCTAGATTTATTATTTGGACTTCAGCAATGGAGAAATGGTGCCTTTGACATTTAAAATTTGGCTATAATCTCATAGTTAGGCAAAAATCTATCATTATCGGATAGCCAAGCTTTCCAAGGACTATACAATTATGTTTTCTACAGAGCATAAGCGAATCAAACTAATCAGACTACTACTAGAGCATAACTAACTTTAAGATCAGGGGAGCAAGGATATCAAGAAGATCCTAAAGATTACATGGTAGGAATTTCAAATCCGAGAAACTGGCTTCATCCAGTTAGAGCTGACTTCGCTACAGTCCCAGGAGTTCAGGATCTGACTTAAACAGTTCTTTTCCAATCAGCCTTGGTTGTTAAGAATGGACTTGCCACTGGTAAATTCAATCTCAACGATAGACTATCTAACTATATTCTTTCTGCAGATGCATTCAATGCCAACGGTGTGCTAGGTTATAACTATGCCTAATTTGGAACATTCGAAAGTTTCAAACTTAGCATGAGTGCTCCTGAATTCATGGTTGTTGGAGATGCCATTAAAATTCCTGTTAACATTACTAACCTCAATACTGCAGCTGTTTCTGTTGTTATTAGCTAAGATCTATCAAAATCTGCTGTATAAGATTTCAGAATCAGCTAGTTGCCAGCTTAAAACATACCTGCTGGCTAGACTCTTAGAACATTCATTACTGCTACAGCTTTACAAGTCAATCCAACAGCTTCATTATCATTGATAGCAAATGGCACTGTGGCAAGAAGAATTGTGATTTCAACTGGATAAGTAAATCTATCTATAGTAGATTAAATTATGAAGTAAAAATCATAAACAAGAGGAACTTTGATCGGCTCAAATGCTAGAGCAGCTGGACCATCAAATCAATTTTTACAAATGAATCTTACCAATGATTTGAATTAGAGTTCGTCAAAATATTTCCTGAGTGTCTATCCAAATTTACTTTCTATACTTGAGGATACAGTTCAAACTGTTTCTGAGATCAGACAAGGTAACGTAGAATAAGTTGCCTCAGCTCTATACCCATTGGCCTTGAAATTCTCTCTACTTAAAACATAATCTCCATAAACGTCAGAGACCTAAGTCTAGCTATATTAACTCCAATAAGAATTAGAGAATTAACTACAAGCAATTTTAACTCACAGAATTCAAGTAGACGATAACTCCAGATTTAATGGAAATGATATCTCTAATGAAGCAATGACTGCTTATGCGCTTCAATTCCTCATCGATATAAGTAACATCACCACAGTTGATAAATCTTTGATTAATCAGTTGGCAGGCTACCTTATTTCAAGAAGAAATGGAAGAGGAGGATTTATTCAATCTTTCTCAAGTCCATTAGCCTAATCTGTACCAGAAGTTACTCTAAATGCATACATAGTAAACGTCTTGACCTATCACAATCCCTCGGTTAGCCTTACAATTGAGATTAATTCTCTTAAAAGCTTTGTAGATGCTCAGTTGAGAATCAACCAAGGAGATGGCTACATTTTAACTTTATTGGCTTAATCTTTATTCAGATAAAAGAGAACAGCTGAAGCTACAGTATACACTGATGCTCTAACCAGACTAATGTCCTCTGATGGAAGAGTGGTTTCAAACTAAACCACAACATTGTCGGTATTTTTATCAAATGGTACTAATCTTGATATTGAGACTACAGCACTTGCAATTTAAGCTTGGAATTTCAATACTGTTAAGTATGCAAACTAAATTGGAAATGCAACTAACTATCTCATTTCTTAAATTGATAGAGGTCTCATTGGTGGATCTTAGGGAACTTATCTAGGGTTAAAAGCAATTCAAAGCTATTTCACATCAAGTGGATTCCCAGTAATTAACGGAAATGGAAGCTTCTTCTTGAAGGTTAATGATGTCACAGTTGAAACTATATCATTCAGATCTAATTAATAAGAAGCTATCAAATTTGATATTTCAGAATATATTAAAACTAAAGGCAATTCAAGAATATTTGCACCAGGAGCAAGCATTAACTTCAATGTCGGAGTGCAAGGATTTAGTCTTAACGCTGGATAGACCAAAGATTTTAGAGCAGTCCTATCGATCTCTCACAGATACATGGTGAACCAAAGTTATGTTGATCCTGGTCCAGCTAATCTAACTACTGATTTCTCAGTCTTATTGAGAAACTACAGAAATCTAGGACTAGACAATCAAACTGGAAGATTATTCCCAATTTAAGTCAAATTCTAGAATATATTTGCTAATGGCTCAGCTTAAAGTGGGTAACTTAATGTGATTTTACATCCTCCCTCTTGCCTTGAGCTAGACTTAGAAAGTACTTATAAATTAATAGAAGACGGTGAAATTAACGATTTCTAAGTCATTCCTTTGTCAGGTCAAGCAGTCCTATTCATTAACTCTATGTTCCCAGGTTAAGTTAAGAATTTCCAGATAAATTATATTCAAAAGTACGCAGGACAATGCCAACTAAGAGATAACATAATCTACCAATCATATGGTGACTTTGAATTATATTCAAAAACTACAACAGAATTATGATGATAATTATAATATTCTTAACCTAAGCATAGATTATTTTATTCCTTAAGTTTTTATTAATTTTGTCTAGAAAATTTCATTGAATTCATTATTTTTTTAATATTGCACTTATCTATCACGGGGTTTTGGGGTTTTGGGGTTTTGGGGTTTTGGGG